GAGATGCAGGAGTTGGCGGAGGAAACCTTGAGTGGAGTGTATTTATTTTTTCAAAATTTTTAAAAATTGAGGAATCAGTTCCAAGCAGAATCGACTTTTTCTAAGCAGCCCATTGATTCATAAGGAGAAGAATTGGGATAGATTCCAAGCAGAAACGATCATGAGTTCCTCCGCAACTACGATGGATAGAGGAAAATCATGAAAATCCTATATTCAAATTTGCTTTAATTTCACTGCTTTTCATTGATTCCTGCCCATCAAAAACATAGAGTATCGAAGCATGAGGCTGCAGGTTGGTAGGGACAAAGCAAAGAGCCAGGGTTGGTAGGACAAAAGAAAAGAGCCAAAAGCTCGAGCTCAAGGGAAAGATCGGCGACAAATTACCGTAGAGGATGGCAATCGCGTAAGGTTATTTTGGACGACTTTATTTGTGAAAAAGCATAGCAGAGCGGAATGGCGGGCCAAAGCTATGGAGATGTCACAATCTGAAATGTGGAGAAAATGTTGTTTTGTTTAGCGAACTTCCGGCGACACTGCTTTGCCAAACAGAAAGCACGCGTTGTGTCTGCGTTTTATGGACCGAAATGAAGTTGAATCACGGCATCAAACGAGGCCTAAGAAATATGGATGGAGAAGAGGAAAGAGAATATCATTGAGATTAAAAAAGCTTCAAAACTTCTAGAAAATGTTGAAAAAGTAATGAAGTACTGCACAATCGTCGATTTAACAAGCAAGTTTGTTGTTTTTTGCACATATTGAACTAATTATTAAATGAATTTTAAATTTGGTTAATAATATCCTTTTCAACAACGATCGTGAAAATATACCATGGATCAAACTGTCAAAATAATCCTTGACAATTTACATGGGGTCATTTTAGTCCTACAGTTTATAGAAATATCAAAATAGTCTTTTGACTCTTTAAATTAGGGCTGAAATAGTCTCCATGAAGGATTATTAGATCTCAATTTTAAAATACTTTGAGACAATTTTGGCACTTCTATAAACTCTGGGACTAAAACGGCCCTATGTAAATAATTGGGGATTATTTTGACATTTTATACCATGAAAGTAAATAATATCAGAGTAGCATGTTTTGTGTGGAACTCCTATGTCTAGAAAAGACTACTTAATATATGCCTCCATTTCTATAACAAATTAATAAAATATTATTTTGAAACAAAATTATGAGTTTTGTTACGTGAACATTTATTACAACATAGCATGTTTTGTTTAATGCCTAAAATTTTGGGGACTGTTTGATGAAATTTGATTTATGTAACAACTTGATTATACTTTTAAAGAGCACCACATTGAAAAAATATTAACACTTTCAATACCAACACTTTTTATTCACATGTTTTAACTTGAAGTGGCCCTATTTTGTTAAAAGCATAACATTAATGCATTACTAGGGTTGCACTTTAGATCATGATTATACAATTGATTGTCTTGGAAAAGAATTTCATTTAGTCATAAATTGTGCCATCTATTTATTATGGTATTACATTAAGCATGTATCCTCTAATCGAACACCCTTAAAGTGCACTTTGTTCAAAAATTGTAGATTTCATGTCTCTTTCATGTAGACATTGTTTTTGTCATATGAAGCAAAAAACACTATATAAACATGGACTTACGTGAGAGTCATGACCACAATATGTGAGATTGGAACAAAAGACTTGAAATATGTGATACTGTGGTACATATGACGAGAGTTGTGTGATCAATTGCTAATAGGCTACTAGCTATAATGAGCCTAGCTCGAGAGGCAATCCATGTGTTTTTAACAAATGACTACACTTAGTTTATGTGATGTGAATGTCCACTAATCTTTTCCATATGTTTCATAGTGTGATCGCTTATCATCATAATCTCATATAACATTTAAACAATGTTTCCTAGCTTCACATCTTATGTTAAGGATAATAAATTCTAATACCCAATCGGAGACAAAAACTAAATCATAAGACAAACCAAAACTCGTGTTATAATTTTCAAAATTTCAATTGAACAGTAAACTCAAAAAAAGATAAAACCAAAATCTTGATAATTATGTATAAGTCTATTATGGTAAACAAATGTTCTAAAAGTTACATACATAAAAATAATTGATAGAATTGGCAAAGGGCAACTATTTCAAATAGAATTAACAGGAGGCGAATTATGAAAGAATTCCTCTGCAATTATATTTTTAAGTATGAACACACAAATCGAGCTATAATGCTACTTAGATATTTGAAGCATCAATCCAACGTACAAATTGTAGTAATGAGATGGAGACACCACAAAAAATTGTGTTTCCAAGCATAACAAGGGCTCTACCCAATAAAATAACTAAACATAAGACGTAAAGTGCACAGAAGGATGTCAGAACATAATAAAAAGCCATTATTTCAACGAATCTTTGAAGTAGAATGTTTCGAGGAATATGCTTTCGATTGTAGATTGGATACGCAATAGCGTGAAATACAAGACCAATGAATATAAAAAATTCAAAGAGAGAGAGAGAGAGCAGAACAATAGATCACTAGGCACACTAAATTAATGTATGAGAGAATTCCATCACTTAAAAAGAATAAAAATAAAAAGAGAATGGCCACATCTCCATGATTTAATTCAAAAAATCAACATATAGATTATCTCTTTCAACAATAATATAATTCTTTACAACTAAAAGAGTATTTCTATTGGCCAAACCAATTAATGCAATTGAGGTTTGCTTACCGGTGTTTTGATGTAAGTCAAAAAAATATTTGGCTCTTTATGACCTTTAATAATCATGTTCTTCAAGCACGATGCCTAAGGAGTTGTCCATAACTAATTTATATCAGACCAGCTTCTTTCAACATATTTGATTTAAAAGATGAAGAAAAAAAAATAGTGGGGTGGGGTAGTCCAATGAGTTTAATTTTTTTTCTTTTTGTAATTATCAATGGATAGACAATAGAAGGAAATAAATGCAAGAAATAAAAAAAACAAATTTTGCAAGAGAGTAAACAACCTAATATAAGCAATTATTTCCTATTAATGACGAATGGTGAATAAAAGAATGAAATTCAATCACTAGCAACAAAATTTTAATAACTTAACGCAAATTAACAAAGAGAAATTATGGCTAATAAAATCATAGTCGATAAGGATTTTGAGCATATGAAAGAGCAATATATGTGATTAAATATTAAAAAAACCAATTACACTTCAAATTAAATACAAAATATCTAAAAATTAATAAATTTTTAAGTCTCGCACTTAGATGAGGAATCAAAAAACCAAGGTAGGTGAAGAAAGTTTTCAAATCTCCTAAAAAAGATTTATCCCTACTAAACTATTAAGCATACCTCAAAATACACTTATAAAAGGTTGTATCAATGAAGATTAAAAAAGCTATGATGGCATATTCCTAGAACTGCAAATATTCTCAACATGAATAAAACAAGGTCGTAGGATAAAGATATGTGAAATAACCCACAAAATTAGCAATGATAAATAGAAAAATGAATCGATTTAAGGAATTTAAGAATAAGTTGTATGAGTAAGGCATCATGGAACTATAGCTAATGATTTATTAATAAATTGAACCTAAGCGAATCTCAAAAAACCAAATAATTACATGAAAAGGGAATGACAAGCCAAACCCAGCACAGACAAAACAAACCCTTGATATAAATGAACAAGTACTTATGCAAAAGCTATCACATTTATATTTAAACATGAATGAAAAATCTAAATACAATCTTTCTGTGGCTCATGTGAGTTGGTTATAACTCCAACTAACCCATATGGCTTCATTAAAATTCAAAATTAAAATGTTCAAGACAACATGAACATTAGAAAAATGTAAACCATAACTTTTATATAAATTTCCCATTTTTTTTTCTTTTTTTTTTTTTAAATTTTTAAATCCATTATTGATTGAAATACTAGGACAAGAGATTAGGCTATCTGAGTTAAACAACAAGTGTGGTTTAAACAGTCATTAATGCACTTGAATAAGACAGAGAATAAAATTTACACTATAACAAACCAGCCCATCATGTGCCATCCAATTATATCAATTCTTACCCAAATCATAAATTTCACAACTTTTAAATGATGTTGGTTGAATATGAATAACCAAGCAAATGTATATTATTAGCTCCAAGACAGCTAAATAGGCCCACTAAAGAGGTGTGTGCAAGGTTAAATCTTAGGAAGGAAGGGTTGAGATTTTTTTATATCTACTTATATCCTCCTATGACATATACTATAATGCATTGCAAATGCTATGTTTTATCTGACATTGAGGCTCACCCTTCTTTTCTCCCAATCATCATTGGACACAAACGTATTCGATGTCACCACAAACAAAGCAACAAGTAATCATCATAGAAGAACTTGACTGTCGGCATCATTGATACTCACATATTTGTCGACATTCATAGACATATGCTAACCTTCATTGTGACTCATCAGCTTTGTCTCAGTTGATGAATTTACACATTAAGCCGCTCACCATTGCCATCTCTACTAGCATTTATAATTAGTTGTCTCAACTCATTTTTCATGTTTCTTATCTTCGTGCACCGTTACCGTCTTAGCCTCCATCATTGCTCAGATTATTGTTATGGACTATTTCCTCCTAAATTATCACTCACAGTTCCCAGCCCCTGTTGATAGAAGGGATTAGAAACGATTTTGTGAAAATTCAATTAACAGTTATAAGTATTTTCTAAACATTCTAGCAAATCATGTTACTTACCAAAGTAACATACAAATAGTATATCTTATGACAGTGGTTAATATTATTAAACTCCTAAGCTTCCCACTTAAACTTATCGAAATGGACAGCAAAATAAGAAAGTGCAAAGATGGAGACTAATTAGATTCAACAGAGCATGACACGCACAATGAAGTAAAAAAAAGTGCACCAGCAAGAATTTAGATTATAAAGGTCACCCTAAGCAGAAGTTAAAAATAAGGAAATACATAAAAAGACAGGAAAAGGTTGACAACATTACCAGATATAGACGAGTTCTCTTCATAGAAATCCTTGTTGAATGCGTCATAATCCATCGCGCTATGATCCAACGCAGGGAGAGGCTCAATTTTCCTCTTATCCACCACAATCGGGTTATCGTCCGAATCATACTCCAGCAACCCAGCATCCACGGCCTTTGCAGCAGCGTACACTTCGTCATCCGAATTATATCCAGCATTTAGAGCCTCCGCAGCTAGAGTTAGCCCCACATCCTTCTTTGCTCTCATAAAACTCTCCACGGGATCATCCTCGTCCTCATCCCGGAACCTGTCATCCTTCTCGTTAGCCTTCCCAGCAGGCGGAGGCCGCGGGGCACGGATCTCTTCCTGGATCCCCTCCATGAAAGCGTCGAGAGGGTCAATCTCTCCTGCATCTCCTTCGCCTCCACCGGGGGATCCTTCTCCGTCGTCCGACCGGTGCTCTGCACCGTCGTAGTCGATGTTGTCTAGGTCCTGGTCCTCATAGTTGTCGCCGCCACGGCGACGGGAAGATGGCGGAACGTATAGGCGGGCCGGAGCCTGCGAACGCTCAAAGTTGTAGGTAGCCGGTCGGTTGATGCCAAAGCCCTCGAAACCGAACTTGCGCTTCGACATCAGCGTTTCTCTGGGGAATCAAACAGAACAGAATATTGCCGATGTAGATGACTGGGAGAGAAACCCTAGATACAGACCTGGTCCGTCATTGTTTGCTAGTTTTTCTTAATTTGGGCACTAGCCGGGTTGTTAGACCGGGTTTTAGCGGATCATATTACCGCCTTATTTGATGGTTGGGGCAAAATGTTTGAACAGTTCGTGTTCTTTGGGTAAGAAGTTTGTATTTAATTTGTTGGTTAAGTTTACATGCTGAACATGAATTTTTTTTATGCTCGATATATGAAAGAGTCGAACATGAATAAAAATTTGATCATTCGTGTTTGGCTCGTTCTAGATCAAAATATTACTTATCGTGTGTATATATATATATATATATATTGTGATGCAGTTGGCTGGACTGTGGAGGTTGATGAGTAATACTTTTAAAAAAATTAAATAACTACAAGACTACAAAGATTTATAATCAATTAAATATATTAATAAAAAATAAAATAAAATATATTAAATTATATTTAAATGATGTCTTAAGATAAACAATAAGATTTAAATCTTGCTCCAACTTTTAACATATTGCTACTGCATGATTAGCATTGTCAAAATGATTCTTTTTTCGCGAACAATCCGTGTTCGATCCACTACGCAAACAAGCCGAACACGAACACACTTTATGTGTTTGAAATATAAATGAGCTGAACACGAAAAACAATATTTTTAACGAGCCGAACAGGAGCTCAACCTGGGCTCGCTCGTGTTCCGGTCGTTTACACCTCTAATGATGGTGTCAAAATTGACTGACGGGTCGAATACTTTCATAATTTTGTTTCATAGTATTTTGCTTAATTATATATATCAAGATTTTGAAAATTACATCGGACATTAAATCGGGAGAGGAGTAGATTCAAGATTTAAAAGTTGAACCGGGATTTAATCGGGTGACATCATAAATATAAAATATCTTAAATAAAACGTAAATGAAATATTAATATCATAGTGTGTGTAGTATAAAAAATAAATCATAAAATATAAATTATATGTGAACTTGAAGAACTAATTTTAATGACTCTCAAAAAGAAAGCTAGCAATGAATTATTATAATCCAAAAAAGTATATCTCGAAAAGCACTAAAAAATAAACCGGTTCAATGGTTGTACCATTATGATTCAATGTAAGGGTGACTTTTAAGCCACCCAAAATAGGACCTTCGGCCGTGTTGAACAAAACAATGTTTGGGAATCACGCCCAAAGAATAAATCATAGATGATAGAGTAAGGAGTTAATAGTAAAATAATGAGCATTTAGCCCCTCTATTTATAAAATGATATTCTATTTATAGGTATGTGAGAGAGTTTGATTACATTATTACCTTTGAGCGCTTTCCTGTGTAAAGGAATGTAGGGGTATTGTGGCAATTCATGTTATACATGAAATTAGGCTAATAGATAATTGTTAACTGAGGGCAACATGCTTATCATTTGCAAGCTTGTGCTTGCTTGCTCGGCGATCACAGGTTGAATCGTGTGTCGTCACAATTTTAGGAGGGTCCTGTGGAAGTTGTCGATCCCGTCGCCCACTTCGCAGGGATATTTAATTTACACACACACTCGGAGCAGCCGCGAAAAACATGTTATATATATATATATATATATATATATATATAGAAAAATATGAAATCAAACTGATCTCATATCTTTTAAAGTTTAGATGAAAGAGCCCTACACCTCAAATTACATCTCAGATAATCGAAACCACCTTACAAAATTTTTGATAAAAATCAGGGGATATTGTCTTCAAGGAGTTCAAATGATGGGACTTTTCAAAGAGATCGGACAAAGAGGTGTGAAATGGGAATGACTCAAATTTGGAACATTTTATTTTTGGAATCCAAAGGAAGAAGAATTAGGGGATGTCACAGATCTTGAGAAGAACCTCGGTGACTTCCCAAGCTATCATATGGTTTGGCTTCAATTTAAAGGAGAAATATTTAAATGTTTCATCCTACCAAATTTATTAATTAGGGCTTACATTCATGTAAAATGATCACTCAAATAGCCTGGAAGATGTAAAGATTTAGGCCGCGACGAACGACAACCTTGGAATCCTAAAACAAGTAAGGTATAATATTGTATAGCAAAGTCACACAAAGGTCTAAAGATAAGTTGAGGATTTATGTCACACTAGGCGGACAACCTCGAAATCCTATGACTTGTTGTTTAATTTTTAAATAGAGATATGTTGTTATAGATCCTATTGCTGTTGAAGATGATCGTGCTACCCACAATGCTAGCTCCAAGCTCCTCGTCGTAGCATGTTTAAGTTTTTTAATGTATCAAGTCTTGATGTCAAATCAAATGTTTCCCAAGGTCATTGTTATTTAAATATTATGGGGGATTTTAAAGTTGATTAGAGCGACACTGGTTAGGATCCCACGTTTCTCTCGTTTCGGCACCACTATTTTTGTTCAAATTCACTTAGTCCAAATGAGTTTACTAAACTCAACTTAATGAGTTCCATACTTTCATTTAGACCTCAGAAAATCTCATTAGCAACCGCAGGTTATCATTTAGACCTCAGAAAATCTCATTAGCAACCGCAGGTTACCTCCTCCGAAGGATTTCCAATTATCCGATAGAGATGTCTTAATTTAGTTGTAATTTTTGTTTTGTTTTATTTGTGATTAATTTTTGAGTTGTCTTATATGTTTGTTATTGTGACGGTGAATTTTATCTTGTTTTGTTTTTAACATGTAGGATGACCTTAAGCATGCAAGCAAGAAACAAGAGGTACGAAAAAGTAAATGCAATAACTTAAAAGCGTATCTGCCGATTCTTCCCGTTCCTCCATCTGAAAAGTTAGCATAATTTTGCAAGGAATTCAAATTGCAAGAGTAGATGAAGGTGTAGCTACTAAAACCCAAGTTATGATTTTATTGAGTCTCGGAAGATCTTAGTGGATGATTTTAGAACAAAATATAGTAAGCTCAATTTGTCCTTCAAAATATTCAAGAGATTTTAAAGTGCTCGGAGCATGACCCTGAATCACTTTAAAGATTCCTTAAAATATTTCAAGTTCATTTTGAACTCATCGTTTTATTAATCACTCAAGGTTAAGCTAAGGTTATCCCATTGCTCAAGGAAACTTGATGTTTTATTTATCCCAAGGCTAGGATACTCAATTAATTAATTGATATTTCATTTAAAAGGTATGAGGGTGGATGCCCCTAAGACAGATCTGAGTCATTAAAGGTTTTGGTACCCACAATTAAAATTGGGCTTATAGTGTAAAAATGTGTTAATCATCAATCGTGTTACCTTTTAAATCCAATCAAATGAGTTTAAATGTCAAGCCTAGGTCACTACCAAGCCCTGAACAATCACAATAGGTGAAATGGTAACTAACAAAATTTTGATTTTAAATGACATGCATTCTTATTGAAAGATCAAATTATCATCAATTATGGGCTTAAAATTAATGAAATATTGTCTTCTTAACTCAACTTGAGAATCATTTAATTTTGATTAACTTCCAAGTCACGAGAATTAAGGAAATTACAATTTTGTTCTTATTATAGCAAAGGTGGCAAGTGAGTTCCAACCTTTTAATCTCATTCTATTTCAATTACCCAAACATGTTTATTATGATCAAAATCTCTCATTTTCCCTTTGTTAATCCTAAATTTTGATTAAGGCACCAAAATCTAAAGTTACCCCTTTTTTCTTTGGGGCTTTTTTTCTTTGGGGCCCTTCACCTCATAACTCTTTAATCAAAATTCAAATGACTTTGAAAATTTTTAGAGTGTCTCATCCATAGATCAATTAAAACATCGGAGGGAAAATGTGGACTTTCAAAATTTAATTTAATTTAAATTTAGAAAGTAGAATTTTCAAAGTTGACTTACTTAACTATCCAAAATAAAGTTTTTATTCATGAGAAAATTATTAGAGGTCCCCTTGGACAGAAAAATACTTAGACAAAATTCAATGATTTTTTCAATTAAATCTTTAATTTAATTATTTATTGATTTTTATGATTTAATTTGAATGGAAAATTTGTTTTATTTATAAAAAAAAATATTTTTTTATATTTTTATTAAACCTCTCTGAATCTAAAGAACATAGAGAAATAAATTTTCTATTTTTTTTATTTTTAATTTTATTATTATAATTATTTAAATGAGAAAATTAAGAAAGTGCATTTTAAGCCTTTAGAAATTTATTTTTAACTTAGAAAAATTAGGAAAAATATTTTTAATGAGTCACAAGTGATCAGGAAAATATTTTTGTATTTTGGAAATTTTTAACTATTTTAAATTTATTTTAATTCAAAATATAGGCCAAAAATTAAGTTTTCTTTATAAAAAATGACTTTTATTTTTCCTAAGTGCTCCTGATCACAAGAAACTCAAAATATCACTTTTCATAATTTTCTTAACACTTTTCATAATTTTCTATCACTTTTCATAATTTTCTTAAGTGTATTTAATTTACTATAATTATTTTTGTACAAAAATACAATATTTCTTGAAAAATCAACTATAGTGCTTAAACGTAATAAAATAATTTTTAAATTTTTACAGTAGGTTAACATGATTTTTATGCACAATGTGGAATTAATTTTGTCAATTTTTATTAGTATTTAATTTACATAAATTAAAGCAAGATATATGCATTTATTAACTATAGAAATGTACAGAATAATTCAAATCATCATGACATTTTTCCTAAGCTTCTCTCACTATAGGAAACCTACTAAAATTATTCCCACAATTTTCAAATGGTATTTTTATTTATATAATTAAAATAAGTCAAAATAGTCATCCTAGCTTGAAAATTAAGGTTAGAAGTATAGAGATGCTGCCAGCCACACGACACTCCGCTATTCGATGCCGCCAGCCACCTCAGCTGCCATGCGACCCGCCTTTTTATTCTAAGCATTCGTGCGGCTTGATCTCCTCTGTCCATTAAATAAGTGCACGATCAGACAACTCTCCTTCATCATCCCCAAGTGTCCAAGCCCGAGAACTGCTCACACTAAAACCTTAAGACAGGTCTCAAGCTAGACTCAAGCAAATCACTTGGGGTTTGTTTCTAAGCCCTCATCTACTCAAGACGAGCATATATATATGGCTTATACGGTATGAAATATAGTAAATACTATGG